CCCATTATATCACCTCGGGGGTGATCTCTTAACAAACCTCAACAACACATAAGTCAATCATGCTAATCGCATCGACGATCTCTCAGAACGACACAACCAACACAGAGGCATTAATTACAGACACCCAAGTGAATAATAACTCAATATATATCTAGAATCTAGACACTATTAGATAATCATCCTAGATAAGAATTCGAGCAGTATATATCTATAGCAACCCAAACCCCTAAGCACAGAGCAAAAATCCAGGACAACAATCGACAAAGATTTATAAAGTAAGTTTTATACAACGCCATGGGCGACAAATATACATGAGTTCAAAGTAAATACATACACAAAACCCAAAAAATAAAGAATACACAAAGAAGAAGAGAAATGAACCACAAATATTTCGATTTGTCAGCGCCGATCAAAGAGCAATCCACCCTGGATCATCCGTATGCAAGCTTCATAGTTGTTTTCTAAGCTAATCTACCCAAAAAATGAGGGTGATGAATTTTGGGAACAAAAGCCCCAAAACCATCCCATACAAATGAAATGAAATGAAAATATAAACAAAAATGGTTCGGGAACCCTCGCTCGAATAGCCAAACACGTCGCCCGGTGATGACCTTTATTTCCTAGGCCCAGCCTGCGCCACACACGCAACTGACAACAAATATCTTCCTTCACCCGACGAAGAGAAGCTTCGCCCGAAGAGCTTATTCTTCCTCGCCTAACGAGCTACTTGCGAGCTCTAGTAAGTAGCCATTGGAAATTCTCCCTTCCTCTCGCACCATGCTCTCCCGGCGAGCACGACATGCAAGCCCTTCGCCCAGGCTTCACGCGACGAGGCTTGATAGACAAAACTTCTTATTTTCTCTTCCTGGTGCATATTAGTGGCTTTATTGCTTTAATCTTTCATCCTTGGAGCTGCCATTTGGCCTTTAATTCCTCAATGCTCCAAACATACATAAATCCCTATAAAATAGATACAAAACTATCAAACGATACACTATGTACATGAAAACGCAAATATACACAAACTAAAAGTATTTACACAAAAGTCGGGTTTATTCAACCGATATTAACAATAAAGATTCGATAAGTGCATCAAAAAGTGTATACAAAAATATCTACAATTTGCACTTATCAAACTTTCCCCAACTTGAACTTGTTTGTCCTCAAACAAGGCCAAACAAACTTAAAGAAGTAAAAGTAATCAACCAAAGAATCATGAATCAACAAGTTTGAGAAACGATAACAAATGTATGGTTCAAATAAAAATGCACACGCAAGGTAAATACTTACTAGAATCCTACAATGACAACATGTAAACGAAAAGAATCCTAAGTACAAAAATCATACTAAATATTCTACAACAAAATAATCTTTATAATGAATCACACATAGTAAAAATTCATCGATATATGAAGAACACACAAAAGTGAGGTACATAGACACTCATCCAGCAATCTTGCAAATAAAAGACTAAATTATGCATTCATCCAAAAAATCACATTGAAAATAGGGTTAAATATACTTTACCCCCTTGCAATAGTAGCAAGTTTTAATTTATCCCCTATTAAAAAAAAATGCTTCCTGCCCCTTAACAAATATAGATTCCCAAACAGAAAACCCTAAAGCCCAAGATTCCCTTTGAGTTTCATACGTGGCATTAGATTGTTTGCTGACTATGTAATTAAAAGTCATGCTGGAATGTTTGTGTCTATTAAACATATTTAGTGTTCTGATTCACCCCCTTGGAAAATCTAGGGTTCAATATCAAACAAAACTAGCAAGCTCACAATGGGGAAGAAATTAGCAGTGAAGAAGAAGAAGCACTCGAAGAAGGCGAAGCATCCAAGCCAACCAAAGAAGCACGAGGAAGAAGGCACTTTTGTTGATGCTGATAAGGTATGTTCTTCCAGCTGCTTGTTCGTTTAGTCCTACATACAGTGAAATGTTAGTTTTTGAATGTTTTCCCAAATGATTTCAGAATAATCATCTGTTCAATGTTGTGTTCCATCATGGTGGTGAGTTTGTAATGTTGAACAATAGGGTTACGATTTACAGAGGGGGTGTAGGCACTTTAGTTTCGGATCTCCACTTGGATCAGTTGACAATGCTTAACATCCATGGGTTGGTTACCGGTTGGGGTTACAATCATGGAACTTATAGAACATGGACTTTAATTCGTCAAATAGATTATAATTATTTCTAAGTTATGAAGGATGATGACTGTCATGACTTTGCTGCACACGTGTGTGTGACCACACTAGACGGGGAAATTTTCATGAAGCGTGATGTTACTCATATTGGAGCCTCAGTAAGTAGTCCAAGATGTGTCAATGAGAATGTTGAGATGGAGGGATGTGATGAAGATTTTGTAGAAGGGTTGGGTGATAGTGAGGATGAACGGACCACTGTTATTCTACATGGTTTTGAAAGGATTGATGTAACTAAACCCATCAATGAGAGTCCTTCAGTTGGTGAGTTTATGATTGGGTCCAAACAGAAAAGTTGTGAGGATAAAGAATATGTGAGTGATGAGTTGAATAGCTCTGACCTGGATTTATCTGATAGTGATAAAGGGAAAGTGCCAAAGTTTGAAAAGTTTAGGAAAGAACATTTAAATAAGGATTTTAAATTTCAGTGGCGTATGCAATTCAACTCCCTAGATGATTTTAGATATTCCACCCGTGAGTGGTCAGTATTAAAATGGAGGGAAGTTACGTTTGTGAAAAAAGAAAGTGACAGAGTAAGGGTAGTGTTGTACCCCAAAATTTTCCCTCCCATTTCCTCAACATTTTCTCATCACAAAAACCTTGAAGATCAAGATCCAGTTAGGGTTTCCGCTGCTCAAGACTTCTCCTTGCACTGTGGACTCAAATTAGGGTTTGTGTTTGAACAAAGATGTTTTGACCTAAAATGCCTAAGATGACTTTCATGCTTCATATTGGACTCCCAAGTTTACCCATACCAAGTTTCAAGTCTTGATACCAAGTTTTGCCCAGTCAATTGGACAGATGACCTAGAAATCAGCTGTATTGGGGAAAAAGTCAACTGTGGCCAATTGACAGTCAAATCTCATGAAAATTGACCCACATCAACATTATGAACTCATATGGACCATTTGATCAAGTTTGGATCACAATTCCACAATAAATTTGATCAGATCACCAAAAGGGCAAAATGGTCATTTTTAGGGTTTTTGACTGCACAAAGGCAATTTTTGACTGTTTGACCTAGCCAATGGCAAACCAAGCTCACATATGGACTCAATAACCCCATGGAATTATCTTGACATGATCAACAAACTCAAAAGATCCCAAATGCACAAGATTGACAGTTGAATTTTCCAATCAATTGATCAATTTTGACTGTATACGGAAAAGTCAAACTTTGACTTTTTGGTCAAAATCAAGAGTCAAGATTCATTTTTCATCAAAACATGCCAAATCATGAAACTTGTTCACCAAGAAATCACAAAATGCAAATTAGGGTTTGAAATGGAATTTTTCATAACTTAGAATTTTTCTAAGTTATGAAAAACCCTAATTTTTTCCCAACTTTGCCCCACTTTTCCACCATGATTCATTTGGATTCAAACAAAATTCAAAACATGAAAGTTTTATCTTGTTGCATAATCTACAACTTTGATTCACAAAGTTTTCCAATTTGAGGCTTGTATCTCAAGTTACAAATTTTTGAATAAGGGCACTAAACCATTCTTAACTTAGTGAATTTTTGACCTATTTTGACAAGTTTTTCTACCCCACTTCAAGGCCATTTTCCATACACTTCCACTTGGAATTTCAAATTGCACTTCAAAGATGGATTGTAG